TATGTTTGGTAAACTTTCCAAATGTGGACAAAACAAAATACGCTAGACAAGGTGGCATCTTTTTGTGTCAGTAAAATTAATTATGCGAGAAATGGCAGTGGAAATGCTTTTATGTGCAAATATTGATATTATAATCATCATATAGTTAAATGCGATGGAAACCCATTAAACGTTTATTTTGGATTCTGTATTTAACGTTATGTGCACTACATCACGCACAGCCTTTTATGCACAACAAGTCAATTTGATGGGAACACATTTCTGGTGGGAAAACGCACATTATTTTATGCAGAAAATCTGTCGCCAATTGGATGGAAACCTAGCTTGTGGAGAATAAGTAATTAAAGTATACCATTTAGTGTTCAAACATTGTTTTAAAACAACATTGGTGGGAATAGGTTGTCTGTAACAATAGTCCCACTGATCACTCTAGCTAACGTTGACAGTTTTGTTTTCCTTCTTCAGAAACAGACATTCAGAAATAAAATGTTCCCACACACGCCTACTGAATATGACAGAGTTCGTTTATTTGCAAGGAGACCAACCAGCTCCTATTGAAATCAAGAGGGGAAAAAAAGGGGGGCTTTAACCAACATTAACATATTTCTCTAACATAGTTAGTGTAACCTATTGATACATGAGGGGATGCGTTCAAGTCAAGTCTTTTCATAGCATGTGATTGAGCAGCTCTCTTAAATCAATGCAGACATGTGGGACCTCAGTTACAGTCTGCAAAACATCATACATTCTATAGTCCTCTAGTCTTACGATTATATGTAGAATTAATAGCACTGAAGAGAAGGAATGTCTTTCTCCCTCTTTCCAAAAGCTGGGTACTTTGAGAACAGAAGGCTGTCTATCCCCTCATGGGCTCTTTCCACTCCAAGGCTATCTCTGATAAACTACCCAGGAAAGGGCTAAACATAGCCCATATTAATATGTAGCCTTAGAAAAAAGGTTCATGAAATCAATAACTTGCTAACGTCATAACATTAATATACAGTGCATTCGAAAAGTATTCAGACTCCTTTTTCCACATTTTGTTACGTTACAGCCTTATTCTAAAATTGATTAAATTATTTTTTCCCCACCTCAATCTACACACAATACCCCATAATGACGAAGCAAAAACAGGTTTAGACATCTTTGCAAATGTTATTAAAAATAAAAAACTTAAAATCACATTTACATAAGTATTCAGACCCTTTCCTCAGTACTTTGTTGAAGCACCTTTGTCAGCGATTACAACCTTGTCTTCTTGGGTATGATGCTACAAGCTTGGCACACCTGTATTTAGAGAGTTTCTCCCATTCTTCTCTGCAGATCCTCTCAAGCTCTGTCGGGTTGGATGGGGAGCGTCGCTGCACAGCTATTTTCAGGTCTATCCAGAGATGTTTGATCAGGTTCAAGTCCGGGCTCTGGCTGGGCCACTCAAGGACATTCAGAGACTTATCCCGAAGCCACCCTGCGTTGTTTTGACTGTGTGCTGTTGGAAGCTGAACCTTCGCCCCAGTCTGAGGTCCTGAGCACTCTGGAGCAGGTTTTCATAAAGGATCCCTCTGTACTTTTCTCCCTTCATCTTTCCCTCGATCCTGACTAGTCTCTTAGTCCCTGCCGCTGAAAAACATCCCTACATCATGATGCTGCTACCACCACGCTTCACCATAGGGATGGTGCCAGGTTTCCTCCAGACGTGACGCTTGGCATTTAGGCCAAAGAGTTCCATCTTGGTTTCATCAGACCAGAGAATCTTGTTTCTCATGGTCTGAGAGTCCTTTAGGTGCCTTTTGGCAAGCTCCAAGCGGGCTGTCATGTGCCTTTTTACTGAGGAGTGGCTTCCGTCTGGCCACTCTACCATAAAGGCCTGATTGGTGGAGTGCTGCAGAGATGGTTGTCCTTTTGGAAGGTTCTCCCATCTCCACAGAGGAACTCTGGAGCTCTCTGAGTGACCATCGGGTTCTTGGTCACCTCCCTGACCAAGGCCCTTCTCCCCTGATTGCTCAATTTGGCCGGGTGGCCAGCTCTATGAAGAGTCTTGGTGGTTCAAACTTCTTCCATTTAAGAATGATGGAGGCCACTGTGTTCTTGGGAACCTTCAATGCTGCAGACATTTTTTGGTACCCTTCCCCAGATCTGTGCCGACACAATCCTGTCTCGGAGCTCTACGGACAAATCCTTCGACCTCATGGCTTGGTTTTTGCTCTGAAATGCACTGTCAACTGTGTGTGTGTGTGTGCCTTTCCAAATCATGTCCAATCAATTGAATTTACCACAGGTGGACTCCAATCAAGTTGTAGAAACATCTCAAGGATGATCAATGGAAACAGGATGCACCTGAGCTCAATTTCGAGTCTCATAGCAAAGGGTCTGAATATTTATGTAAATAAGGTATCTGTATTTTATTTTTAATAAATTTACTAAAATGTCTAAACTGTTTTTGCTTTGTCATTATGGGGTATTGTGTGTAGATTGAGAAAAAAAATTATAATCATTTTTAGAATAAGGCTGTAACGTAACAGTGGGGAAAGGGTCTGAATACTTTCAGAATGCACTGTATTAGCCATTTCTGAGACTCACTTAGCTAATTCCTTTGATACAGCAGTAAAAATACAAGGATATAACATCTACAGAAGAGACAGGAATGCCTATGGGGAGGTGTTGCTGTTTATATTCAGAGCCATATCCCCTCTAATGCTTAGATGTGTTGTGGTTGCAGGTTCACCTGCCTCATCTAAAGCCTATTATTTTAGGGTGTTGCTATAGGCCACCAAGTACTAACAGTCAGTATCTAGATGTGTGTGTGTGTGTGAAATGCTTGATAGTGTATATAATGTAAACAGAGAGGTCTACTTTTTTGGGGACCTGAATATTGACTGTTTTCAACAAGCTGTCCGCTCAAGTGGAAGCTTCTCACTGTAACCAGTGCCTGTAATCTGGTTCAGGTTATTAATCAACCTACCAGGGTGTTTACACTACAGGAACTATATAATCCACATGTATTGATCACATTTGTACTAATACTGTAGAACTTTGTTCTAAAGCTGTATCCGTACCCATTGAATGCAGTGATCACAATATAGTGGCTATATCCAGAAAAGTCAAGATTCCAAAAGCTGGGCCTAAAATAGTGTATAAGAGATCATACAAAAGATTTTGCTGTGACTCTTACGTGGATGATGTTAAAAATATTTGTTGGTCTGATGAGATTAGGAGCAGCCAGATCCTGCACTTGATGAATTTATGACATTGCTTCTTCCAATTATTGATTAACATGCCACCAGTTAAGAAACCAACTGTTAGAACTGTTAAGGCTCCTTGGATTGATGAGGAATTGAAAAACTATGGTTGAAAGAGATGGGGCAAAAGGAGTGGCTAATAAGTCTGGCTTACTGCAAATTGAGAAATTATGTGACTAAACTTCATAAGAAACTGTATTATGAAGCTAAGATCAATGATATAAAGAATGATGGGAAAAAACTTGAGTACTTTAAATGAAATTATGGGCAGAAAGACATTCAACTCGATCTTTCAAATCAGATGACTTATATATCACAAAACCATTTGATGTTGCCAATTATTTTAATAATTACTTAATTGGCAAAGTGGGCAAACCTAGGCAGTAAATGCCAACAGCGAACAGTGAGCCATCATATTCATGCATTTAAAAAACAAATGAAATAAAAGCATTGCATGTTTGAATTTTGTAAAGTTAGTGTGGAAGAGGGTGCAAAATTATCGCTCAATAATGACAAACCTCCTGGCATAGACAACTTAGATGGAAAGCTGAACTGCCAATGACCTGCCACCGTCATTAAACAAAGCCTGTATCCATGTATGCTGATGATTCAACCCTATACGGGCCAGCAACCACAGCTAGTGAAATCACTGCAATCCTAAACAAAGAGTTGCCGTCAGTTTTAGAATTGGAGGCCAGTAATAAACTGGTCCTGAAAATCTCTGAAACTAAGAGCATTGTATTTGGTACAAATCATTTCCTATGTTCTAGACCTCAGCTGAATCTGGTAATGAATGGTGTGGCTGTTGAGCAGACTAAATTATTTGGTATTATCTTAATATTGTAAACTGTCATGGTCAAAACATATTGATTCAATGGTTGTAAAGATGGGGAGAGGTCTGTCAGTGATAAAAATATGCTCTGCTTTTTTTTACACCACACTCCCCAAAGTCTCTCTTGGCTAAGAGTTGAGGAAAGACTGACTGCATCACTTCTTGTTTTTATAAAGAAACATCAATGTGTTCGAAATTCCAAATTGTTTGCATAATTCACTTACACACAGCACTTACCCCACCAGACATCTTTTCACAGTCCCCAGGCCCAGAACAAATTCAAGGAAACATACAGTATTATACAGAGCCATGATTGCATGGAACTTCCTTCCATCTCATATAGTGCAAGTGAACAGCAAACCTGGTTTCAAAAAAACAAATAAAGCAACACCTCACGGCACAACGCCTCTCCCCCATGTGACCTACTTTTAGTGTGTATATACTGACATGTATGTGTAACTGATAGATGCACACACACACTACATGTTAATGTTTTAAATTTAAATTGTAAAGTATTTTGTCTGTAATGTATTTTTCGTTGGCGTCGGCTAATTAGGATCCTAATAAAAAAAGGCATCTTTCTTCTACCTCCCTCGAGTGTGAGTTCTGAGGTGTCCCTTGATATGGCTAGACTGACTGAACCCTTTCCCGCAGACAGGACAACAGTAGGGTTTCTCCCCTGTGTGGACCCTCAGGTGGGTTTTCAGATGGGCAGACCGGTTGAAGCGTTTACCACACACGTGGCAACGGTACGGTCTCTCTCCTGTGTGGATGCGTTGGTGCTCCCTGAACCTCCCTGAGTAGCTAAAACTCTTGCCACACACACCACAGTGGAAGGGCTTATCCTTAGTGTGAGAACACAGGTGGTCCTTGAGGTAACTGGTAGAGGTGAATGACTTCCAACAGACTGTGCAGAGGATTTGCCTGTGACTAGTGTCACCACTGTGTGGTACTGTGTGGGCAAGCATGTGTGCCTCCAGTTGGGATAGCTCACAGAACACGGCACCACACTGAGTACATGAGTGTGTCTGTGTGTCCTCCTCTGGTCTCCTTTCTAGATCTCTCGGAACATCAGGAACACTTTCAGCGTTCTCACTCTGTGTTCTAGAACAGTCTAGATTTACTGCAGAGAGGGGCTGAGACTGAGGGGAGTCACTGGTTGGTTCTGATAGTGATACTCCATAGCCCTCTCCATCAGGTTCTGTTTTGATCTGTCCAGTTGTGTTAGTCAGTAGAGAGTCCCTCTCTCTGTTCTCCACAGTTTGGGGAAGATGTGTGGGCTGAGGTGGCTCCTGATCACTTTTCACACAGGGAGGAATGGATATGTTGTCTTCTTTGGTATCAGCCTCCGGCCCTTCAATCTGCTCTACCTCCTGACGGGTCCTGAGTTCACCCTGTTCCTCTTTAATCTGTGTGGGCTCTGGGTCCCTCTGCCCCAGACTGGGGCTCCACTCCTGCTCACAGTGCTGTTGCTCAGGGGGTGTTTGCTGCTCTGAGACCCAAGAGAGAATGGGCTGAGGAGCTGGGGGAAAGAAGACAATTGACATCAATGTAAGTAATGACAGCTGTTGACGCTTGATTGACAAGACCACCATTGTGTTAGCTAGCTTGTTCTGAGAATGGCATAGCTATGTCTGTCTGAATCCCAAATCACCCCTTTCCCTTCCCCTCGCCCCTCCATTTGCGCATTCACGCATGCCTTCGCCATATGTACAAATGTCCCAAAGCTGAGGGAGTGAAAATTATGGAGGGTGTAGGGCCGGGTTTCTCAAACTAGGGGTTGCGACCTTTTGAAAATGGGGTCGCGAGATATACTTTTTTTTTTATACTATCAAAAGTACTGTCAGACTGATTTGTAACCGTCATAGCCTCAATTTTAAAAAGTAAACATTGGCCGTTGATTACGTCACTGTTTTTTATACATTGTGTGGTCGCGGAAAAACATTGATCAAAATGGAGTCGCGGGCCAAAGAAGTTCGGGAACCCCTTGTGTAGGGGCTAGTTAGTCCCTCCGATAACCACTTCGACCGAGCCAGCAATGCTGCCGCTTCAGAGCGAAGTAGAATCCCATAAAGGCACTGCATTATTTTTGTGTGTTGTAACAGCGCATAGGCGGCGAGTGAGTGAAGTTTGGGCAAGCTAATTTTCACCATAATAATGCACCTTTTATAATAAAGCATTCCATACATCGCATTTGCAGACTTATGTTTGTTAGCCTACTATTCCTAATGTGATGAGTAGATTAGATATTCATAATTTTTGCTAATAATATAACTCAAACACAAAAGACCATTCAATGCATGGCTGAGCGCGTAGTGGCGTAGAGTAGGTATAGTCTATAAGCTATATCAGATACGTTTCTTCTCCTTTCTTTCAACTGGAAAAATTTGGCATTTTTATGAACCAATTTCATGCCATTCTACTACGTTTTATATGACTGGAGACATTAGCAGAATATTTTTTTATACAACAAAAAGTACAGGGTAGCCTACTCTGCTAACACCGTTGTCTGATTTCATATAATAGGCCTACAAGACGGGGAGAAACTAATACAATATGATGTCCATTTAACCTAGAGGAGGAAATTATTGTCCAAAAATAAACATTCAAGTGGCACTTACCCAACAATGATAAAGAGTGAATATGCGCAGTATGCACTCACCGGGGATATAGCCGATGCTCTCTGCTGTTGCCAATAAGATGGGCTATACTGTTCGCTCAATGAAGTTGAAAATTTGTATGACTAAAATAGTATTTTCATGGTCTTCTTTTTACAGCAACTGCCATTTGCTTTCCAAATTGTTTTCATGCGAAAGGGGCTGTCACCGACTTTTAAAAAAAATATTCGCCGACCGAGAGTCCTCTGTTCTTTCGACCAATCGATTGTTTTTTTTTTTTAATCACATGCACGTGACCAATAGGGTGCTGCATATGATGACCTGGCCTCCACAATCACCCGACCCCAACCCAATTGAGATGGTTTGGAATGAGTTCGACCGCAGACCAAAGGAAAAGCAGCCAACAAGTGCTCAGCATATGTGGGAATTCCTTCAAGACTGTTGGAAAAGGATTCCAGGTGAAGCTGGTTGAGAGAATGCCAAGGCTGTGCAAAGCTGTCAAGGCAAAGGGTGGCTACTTTGAAGAATCGAAAATATATTTTGATTTGTTTAACACTTTTTTTGGTTACTACATGATTCCATATGTGTTATTTCATAGTTTTGATGTCTTCACTATTCTACAATGTAGAAAATAGTAAAAATAAAGAAAAACCCTTGAATGAGTAGGTGTGTCCAAACTTTTGACTGGTAGTGTGCGCACACACACACAGTGCATTTGGAAAGTATTCAGACCCCTTGACTTTTTCTACATTTTGTTACATTACAGCTTTATTCTAAAATTGATTAAATTGTTTTCCCCCCCTCAATCTACACACAACACCCAATAATGACAAAGCAAAAACAGGTTTAGAAATGTATTTTTAAAAATCTAACTGAAATGACATTTACGTAAGTATTCCGTTTTGCCGGGCGGCCAGCTCTAGGAAGAGTCTGGTAGTTTGGTACCATTCCCCAGATCTGTGCCTCGACACAATCCTGTCTCGGAGTTCTACGGACAATTCCTTTGACCTCATGGCTTGGTTTTTGCTCTGACGTGCACTGTCAACTGTATGACCTTATATAGACTGGTGTGTGCCTTTCCAAATCATGTCCAATCAATTGAATTTACCACAGGTGGACTCCAATCAAGTTCTACACATCTCAAGGATGATCAATGGAAACAGGATACACTTGATCTTAATTTCAAGTCTCATAGCAAAGGGTCTGAATACTTATGTAAATACGGTATTTCTGTTTATAATACATTTGCAAAAATTGCTAAAGACCAGTCTTCATTTTGTCATTATAGGGTTTGTAGATTGAGGGGGGAAAAAAGTATTTAATCATTTTAGAATAAGGCTGTAATGTAACAAAATGTGGAAAAAGTCAAGGGGTCTGAATACTTTCCGAATGCACTGTGTGTGATGATTTATAAAGCCAGGCACATTTAACAGTTAGGCTATCGATTACAGGCCTAATTAAGTTGGTTTCCCCTCTACTCACTTCTCTTAGACAATTAAGGCAAGGGCTATTTACTCAACACATTGTTCTCAACTCCAATATGCTGGTTAACTTTGCTATTATGCACATAGCAACATGGTCTAGGAAAAAGCGCCAATTCAACAGTGCACTTATGTTTCAGAACCGCGACCGCTTTCAAACGCGGGAGAAAGCCATTAAAAAACAAATAATAATTTGTATTAGTGTTGCACCATTGTCCTTAACCATATACATTTTCAGTAGCATGTCTTAGAGTGATGGACTGTGCCCCACGACCTCCACAATGGATTAGTCCACCCAGACAGGAGTGAATCAGACAGGTGTCTTGTACACCATGACTTTTTTTCCCCTTCTTTTTTTGCTACTGCTCGATTTAAAGAGTTTATTTCCTGGTGTATTTCCTGTAATTTGTTGTGTAAGATGCAGGGCCCACTTGCAAAAGAGACCTTGGTCTCAATGGGACTCACTGTTTAAAATAAAGGTAAAATATATATTGTAAAACGACAGGGGGTAATTACAATTTCATGCTTGTTTTATTATTTAAGTGGAACAGGAATTCCATCATTCAAGTCACAAGTGTGTCCAGAAGTTGATGGGTTTATTGTAGTGATGCGCGGGTTGGCTCATAACCCGCAGTCCCCGTAGTTATATCCGAAGGAGGGGTCTTGAAATATTGTATGGATAAAGGGTGGCGGGTTGAATGAAGAGAAACGATAAAAAGTATATACAATTCGTGTGCAATTTATATCTATAGGCTACATTAAGGTTTTTCTTTCATTCTTTTTGGGCTATCTGGCATTAGTGCGTAAGCCTGTAAAGCTTTAGGGCCCAACTGTACCCGCGCAAAATAGCCTATTCGCCAAAGGCTTTTGGGAAGGGGCAGAAAAAGTTAATGTTGATCCACTGAGGCAAAAAGGACAATGTCGGAGTTTAATTCAATAGGAGAAAAGCTGCAAAATAAAGAGCTGAAAATAATGAGAAGGTAGGGCCAGAAAAGTCATGTTTGGGAAATATTTGGTGAAGTGGTAAAGGGGATGATGGCAGTGCTGGCTACAGTTGAAGTCGGAAGTTTACATACACCTTAGCCAAATACATTTAAACTCAGTTTTTCACAATTCCTGACATTTAATCCTAGTAAAAATTCCCTGTCTTAGGTCAGTTAGGATCAGCACTTTATTTTAAGAATGTGAAATGTCAGAATAATAGTAGAGAGAATGATTTATTTCAGCTTTTATTTCTTTCATCACATTCCCAGTGGGTCAGAAGTTTACATACACTCAATTAATATTTGGTAGCATTGCCTTTAAATTGTTTAACTTGGGTCAAACGTTTCAGGTAGCCTTCCACAAGCTTCCCACAATAAATTGGGTGAATTTTGACCCATTCCTCCTGACAGAGCTGGTGTAACCGAGTCAGGTTTGTAGGCCTCCTTGCTCACACACGCTTTTTCAGTTCTGCCCACACATTTTCTATAGGATTGAGGTCAGGGCTTTGTGATGGCCACTCCAATACCTTGACTTTGCTGTCCTTAAGCCATTTTAGACATAACAAAATCTTACTGCAAAAATGAGCGTAGACCAGTATTACGTGCTCTCCAAACGATTTGTTTCTGCAGTGAGGATTTACCATCTTCGGAGAATGATTTTGTACCTTATTTGCAGATAATAGTTGTTTTGAAGCTGAAAAGGCAGTAGTAACAGTATGCAAATCAGGGAGCAAAAAAGAGCCGTTCGTTCGCCAACGACCAATCACTAGTGGTAACTCCACTCTCTCGTTGATGAAAGATGAGGGCCATATGTATCGAAAGCCGTATCGCAAGCAATGATTATTGAAGTTTCTAAACGTTAAAACACAGTGTCGGGATTGTAGTTCACATGAGGTAGTCGTGGGCGAAGATAATGGCTGAAAACTATAGGGAGAAGGCAGAATGCCGCTTACGAGTTTGAGAGCTAGGGATTCACCGTCTCTCTGCCCCACTGAGTCAAACACTGTAAAATACAATGTAACGTTTAGATAATTCGTGTAAATGAGAAGTACAGTAGTCTTGCTAGCTACATACCAGGTAAGACTGGTGTGATCAAGTGTCGTTTCAGGTATTGGTTTTCTCTCTTCGTCCGGGCTATTTCTTCCTGGTACTCGGAGATCGTGTCTCCGACCACTCCAAGTATCTCCTCGGCAGCTTGCATCAAACGCTCAGTTAGATACACATTCAGATATTGTAATTTAGTCATCGTTGGACGATTATAGGGGGCAAAATATCTTCCTTAAATACAGGTAGCTAGCTAGGGCTTGTTGTCAAACGTGAACGCTGTAGGCTCGGAAGTGACGTCAGCGCTCTAGTCACATATGGGCGTGTTCACCATAGAAATGTAGGAACGTAAAATGAATTCTAAACGATTCTTCCTCTGACACTGGATGGTTAGGACGCTACACCACAGTGGCTGAGACAACTGAACAGACACAATCACACAGGAAGAATGGGACGGATTGATTCTCTTCTTGGGCAGCTGCTGCATCTAGCTGTATGTGGTTACTGATAGGACACACACATTCCTAAGGAGTTTCTCTCTGAATACAATCAGTGAAGCATTCATTGTCACAATTACAGTGCTTTGCAGTATGAGGCTTAAAAAAAAAAGTGTAGTTAATAATTCATTAAGTGTGTTAAATATAACTATTCCTAGTATTGATTAATCTTATAAATAGGAATGTTTTGATAACAATGCAGTACTGACCATTACCTCATCCATGCAACGTTTTGCCGTGACGTATTTCATTACGCTGTATGTCATGTTCACAGTCTTGCCCGGCCAATAGTGTGCAACTGCAGCTTTGACTTTGACACCACTGTGAAATGAGCCACATTAGCTCACCAGGCAATGGGCAGAATAGTGAGGTGATTACCCACAGTCAAAGTCCTGCAATAAGAGCTAAGATGCTAATATTTGTGTGAACTTTTCTGTGGCTGTCACTGAGTAGTAGGCTGATACCCCATTTCATGGACCCAAGATCCAAGTTAGGCTTTACATTGCAATATGAATGTTCAATAGGCTGAATAGTGAGGTGATTTCCCACAAAGTACTGCAATAAGAGCTACAACATTAATATTTGTGTAATCTCTTCAGTTGTGTTCTGTGGGTGTCACTGAATAGGCTGAGACTCCATTTCATTGATCCACAATCCATAGGTAAGACTGTACAGTGAAATATAAGTATGCAATTATGAAGTCTAATACATCCACAGAAAGATTTCAACTGATTTGCCCTTTTTCTCAAATTAACGAATGATTGTCTTTAGTTGAATTTATATAACATTCCAAAGTCGTTAAGCATGATCTTGTCCAAATATGGCATGATTCCACTATTTCTATACGTTTCAATATAGGATCTTGGTAACACACTACGCCGTGAAGGACTGAAATCCTGCAGCGCCCGCAAGGTCCCCCTGCTCAAGAAAGCACATATACAGGGCCGTCTGAAGTTTGCCAATGAACATCTGAATGATTCAGAGGAGAACTGGGTGAAAGTGTTGTGGTCAGATGAGACCAAAATAGAGCTCTTTGGCATCAACTCAACTCGCCGTGTTTGGAGGAGGAGAAATGCTGCCTATGACCCCAAGAACACCATCCCCACCGTCAAACATGGAGGTGGAAACATTATGCTTTGGGGGTGTTTTTCTGCTAAGGGGACAGGACAACTTCACCGCATCAAAGGGACGATGGACGGGGCCATGTACTGTCACATTTTGGGTGAGAACCTCCTTCCCTCAGCCAGGGCATTGAAAATGGGTCATGGATGGGTATTCCAGCATGACAATGACCCAAAACACACAGCCAAGGCAACAAAGGAGTGGCTCAAGAAGAAGCACATTAAGGTCCTGGAGTGGCCTAGCCAGTCTCCAGACCTTAATCCCATAGGAAATCTGTGAAGGGAGCTGAAGGTTCGAGTTGCCAAACATCAGGCTCAAAACCTTAATGACTTGGAGAAGATCTGCAAAGATGAGTAGGACAAAATCCCTCTTGAGATGTGTGCAAACCTGGTGGCCAACTACAAGAAACGTCTGACCTCTGTGATTGCCAACAAGGGTTTTGCCACCAAGTACTAAGTCATGTTTTGCAGAGGGGTCAAATACTTATTTCCCTCATTAAAATGCAAATCCATGTATAACATTTTTGACATGCGTTTTTCTGGATGTTTTTGTTGTTATTCTGTCTCTCACTGTTCAAATACACCTACCATTAAAATTATAGACTGATCATGTTTTTGTCAGTGGGCAAACGTACAAAATCAGCAGGGGATCAAATACTTTTTTCCCTCACTGTATGCTTGTACAATCTTTTTTTAACCCTCCCGTTGTCCTAGGGTCAAAATGACCCGCCACTGTGTTGAACCAACTTTATTTAATTTTTATATTTTTGGGATCATTTGTGAGAAGGAGGCAGTGAGACTTTAAAGAAAGTATCACTGCCTCTTTCTCACAAATGATCCAAAAAATATAAAAATTAAATAAAGTTGGTTCAACACAGTGGCGGGTCATTTTGACCCTAGGACAACGGGAGGGTTAAATACAATGTTAGTCACTAGTTACCACAGCCACAAAGCCATAAACCCCGCCTATTTCTACAATTTATCGTCTTCAAATGTGATTTTAAACCTAACCTTAACCCAAACTTAACCACACTGCTAACCTTATGCCTAACTTTAAATTAAGACCAAAAAGCACATTTTCTGTTTTCATGAATTTTTACAATATAGCCAGACTTTGTAACTAGTGGAACTCGAACACATGTTCGAGAGCATCAAAACCGTGATGTATAATGGGTAAATTGTGACTGACTGACGGACTAATCTAGAATTGGTATTGAGTAGTTATTTAGGATGCAAGGTGACTTGTAGATCAGTCAGTCTCGACTCGCCTTTAAAGTCAGCTGCAATGTCTAACGCTTTTCACGCCATTTCACCCGTAGGGTGGTGCTATACGTCACAGTGGGCAAATATTTCAGCGCACATACACCACTGAGGTATACGTATAGGTGCACACAGTGTCGAGAACGAGCTGAGCACACCGAGGTAAAGTTCGCCGTTAAATCTCTTGTTCGCAATAACTTTTGCATTGATTGTCATAGAAACCTCAAAACAAGTGATCATTATTTTTAAAAGGTCTGGCCTACTTTTACAACCTTTTGATTTGTTTAAAAAGTCAAGTGTTGATTTGATAGAATCAAATCATATAAAAATGCATTTTAATCTCTTATGGTCAATACATTTTTCATGGATTGTCATAGAAACATAAAACTAAATCCAAATTATTCAAACCATGACCCTCAATGGAACTGACGCAAGCCATCACCGCCATACAAGTTTCGGCTTTTCAAATGGTGTTACAGATTTACCTGCAGGTGACTCTTAGCACACCATCTCAAAGCCCTCTCTCAGAGATAAAATATGTAACTGGCCCTTCCCACCTCTGGCCCTAAACAAACCGATTGGTTGCTAGGGACCAGGTTGCCAGGTGCCTTATCACACCATGGGGTCAGCCATTCAAAGGCAGTCATCTTGGGTTCCATATCCCCAATTCCTGCCGCCCCCTCCGTCTTCTTCAAGCAGTTGCAGAGAGAGCATCAAGCGCCAACACCTCTTCCCTGCTCAACACAACTGGACTCATTTTGATGTGGGATGGTGTGCGTGTATAAAGTAGAGGGAGGGAAATTGTATTTGTGTATATTACTGCTGGTTGTTCAGTACAATATTAGCTTTTAGTTTTATCCAGTTCTTTGCCATTTTGTTTCTGCTCTATTCTGTAAGGTTCTGTATCTGTGCATTCTTGCCCTGGTGTATTCATTTGGTATGTCAATATTCATTGCCTCTATTTTCTCCTGTTATAGAAACACTACCATTATACTTTCCATGTCTGCCTGTGTATGTCAATAAAGTATCCCTGTGTGTAACTCTGAGGTTGAATCATCCCCCATCTCCTCTGACCGGGGGTGGGGCTAGCGGGTCACAGACCAGCAAAATATGGAGAGCCAGGTCGCTCTTTCAAATGGTGTGTAATTACTGAGCACAATGGTGTGCAATTATTGATGTACATAATTACCTAACAGCACAACCCTGAAGAGCTCTGCCTGGCCGCCACATTGAAGCTCGCTCAGAACAAGCTGCAGAAGTCAAGATTCATTTGGATAAGTAGAAAATTTTCCCACATGCTACAAGTTGCACTGGACCAGGGTATCTATAATGGGATTTGGATTGTTGATGTGAGGACTGTTAATGATGTTTGGTGTACTAATGATTCTGATGTACCGCTTGAAACATGAAATCTGTTAAGTCATGCAATGGACACCCAGTGCCTAAATTATGGTCCAAACCCTCAGCCCAGCTACTGTACATTGGGTACCAGTAACGAGTCGATGTGCAGGGGTACGAGGTAATCGCCGGAGGAGATGGCTGCCGTTTTACGGGCTCCAAACCAATTGTGCTATTGTGTGTTTTTTCGCGTTATTTGTAACTTATTTTGTACATAATGTTTCTGCCACCGTCTCTTATGACCGAAAATAGCTTCTGGATATCAGGACAGCGATTACTCACCTCGTACTGGACGAAGATTTTTTTCTTTAACGAGTCAGACGCGAAGGATTTACTTCAGATACCCGACAAGGCCCAAATCCCCGTCATTAGCAGGAGAAAGAGACTGAGATATTGGGGACGTAGGTCGGGGTGCCTTGTAAGGATCTGACGGCGAGTGGGGAATCTGCCTCTATCATCAGTCCTATTAGCCAACGTACAATCATTATGTTTCACCGAGTTGTGGCTGAACGACGACATGGATAAAATACAGCTGGCGGGGTTTACGCTGCATCGGCAAGATAGAACAGCGGCCTCCGGTAAGACAAGGGGTGGCGGTCTGTGTATATTTGTAAACAACAGCTGGTGCACGAAATCTAAAATTAAGGAAGTCTCTAGGTTTTGCTCGCCTGAGGTAGAGTATCTCATGATAAGCTGTAGACCACACTATTTACCCAGAGAGTTTTCATATATATTTTTCATAGCTGTCTATTTACCACCACAAACCGATGCTGGCACTAAGACCGCACTCAATGAGCTGTATAAGGCCATAAGCAAACAGGAAAATGCTCATCCAGAGGCGGCGCTCCTAGTGGCCGGGGACTTTAATGCAGGGAAACTTAAATCCATTTTGCCTAATTTCTACCAGCATGTTAAATATACAACCC